ATTATTTGCTCACGAGTTATGACCGCAAAACCGGCGAAAAACCGGGCTATTTCGGGCCGCCTGCCATGGTTCTCCACTCAGGCGACGGTGGGACTCGGCTGTTGCCATATCTTGTCTCGCGTCGCGCTCAGCTATGCCTATGTGCGCCGGCGCCAAGGAATATCGGAGCGGTGCCGGGCAAAATTTTGAAAATTTAAGAACCTTAAAATGCGGTCATAGGTACTTTCAATAAGTTAAATCTTCTCCTGGGTTTGTTTTCCACATAGAGTTGAGCCTAATGTACGCGGCCGAAACAAAAAATTTCAGTAATAAGTTACATTTTTTCCTAAGTTATTTTCCAACCTGAAGTTGAGCTTAATTTTTGCGCCCTCCCCCTCCCCCCCCCCAAAAAAAACCCAGCGTACAAATGGCCCTAGTACTCGGAAGTGGTATCAGCATAAAGAGCCAAAATGCCCTTAATTGATTCACCTGAAGTGGCTGATTTTTCGGCGGGACATGGCCTTGGATGAAAAATTTCACAAAACTATATAAAATGTAATTACGTGAAGCATTTTTAAGACTCTTGCAATGGACTTAACGTGCCACGAAATACAAAGAAATAACAGAATCATAATGTCGGAATTTTTTTTAAAAATATATGAGTATTATATCATGAGCAAAATTTCGAAGTTTCTTTTTGAATTCTCGGATCATTGCTGCGTGTTGCGAACACAGCCCCAGAAAATTTGTTGAGATTTCGTGGAAAATAGTATTTCACTTCTAAGCAATAAAATTAACGACTTTTTCGGTAAAAGGGCGTAAGAGGCTTGCAATGCTGCTAAGATTGTGCAATTTTTTACAGCATTTGGGACAGATGAAATTCATTCTCAGTCGACTTACTTCCTTACAATAGTGAGGAGAAATTCGAAGCAAATTCAGGGGAAAAATTTTTGGCAGAGCTGTCGGATAAGTTACATACAACTAGAGAACTCTGTTGCACAATCTTAGAAGCACTGCAGTGTGTCTACTAAAACAGACTGGTCAAAAATAAGTACTTTTTCAGTAAGTTCTCGAGATATTCAGGACCTCCTCCACCCGAAAAATTCCGCACTTTTTCAGTACCTCCATTTGACGAAACTAGAAAAATTTAAAAAATTTGAAATTGCGACAAAAATGACAAAAAACTTATAAAATTTCCGGGCATTTTTGCGGAATTTCCGCAATTTTTCAGTACTTCCGGACCGCCCTTAAAAAATCAGTACTATTTCCGGACTTTCCGGAAATTCCGGACTTGTAGACACCCTGCACTGGAAGTCTCATACGCCCTTTTACCGAAAAATGCATCAATTTTGGGATTTTGAAAAAAATACGATGAGTCAAACGCGGTTCCCTATCGAATTCTCGGAGCATTGTTGCGGGTCGCAAACGGAGCCCTGAAAAGGCGTCTAAATTCCATTGAAAATTAAATTTGAATCAAAGAGATCGAAAACACACCAACTCGGTAATTCGAAAAAGCGCAACTTTCATTAAAAACGGTCAATTTTTATAAAGGTTATTAAAGTTAGCGAATCTGTTCCAACTTTAACCTTTAAAATGTCCGTAAGTGTCTGTCTTAAGGCACCAAAAATCTTTTCCTTAGACCAATTTCTTCATCTACTGTGCATTTCTGTGCGTGTCTTGATTACTTTTTTCTCCGAGTTGGTGTGTTTTCGTTCTCACTGATTCATTTCATTTCGCATCTGCGGCTCGCGATAAAGCGACGAGGGGGCAAGGCGGCAACGCGGCGGGAGCTAAGCGCCGGCCGGCCGGTGCGCCCTGCACGCCCCCGGTGGCTGGCGCTGCTGTGCTGGAGGAGTCGGCTGGATTTGAACTTGCGAGCGCGGCTCCGTGGCGCCTTTTAATAAGCTAACGCGTCGAATAATTGTTACGTACTTGACATGTTTATGAAAAATCCACATCCTCCGCGCCGAGATCCCCCGGCTCCCGACTCGACGTAAGCGGCGTCGCGTCGCATCGCATCACATCGCAGCTCCTCTTGCGGCTCCTGCCACCTGGTATTTTTGGAACGAGTGGACCTCCCGCGTAAGAACTTCTTATTAAGAAGGCCCGTCTCACCTCGGAGTTGGCACCCGATGACCCATCCTCACATTATAACCTTAAGGGATACATCTTCAAGGGAACTTTACCACTTTTCTAACTTCTACAATATGTATGGACTATAAGATATAAGCTCCTACGGTTTCCGCATTATGTCCGACCCCTTCCAGCGGCTCGCTCTACTGTGCCACTGTGCGGCCCGGCGCCTCTCATTAGAAACACCCGGTCAGGGACATCTCGACTCCCCTCTCTCCGGGGGGCAAAGTCCCCCAGTTTCCCATGTCTGTAATGTCTTAGGCGGTAATCGCCAAGATGAACAGAACTTATCGTCAGGTAGACGGCATTTGAATACACATGTCCCAGTCTACGGAAGAGGGGACCCCCGTCCACAAAAACTCAAATGTCATGATATTACCGTATAGAAGAGTTTTTTCCCAACATTTTGGGGCCAACTACCTGCCCAGATATATAGAGTAGCAGTTGGCCAGGGTCGTGAAATTTGGAAGAGAAGACTTATCTGTGCAAGATTTTACAAATGATACCGGCGCGGGGCGAAGCGAGGCGCCGGTTTTTTTAAACATAACGACTTTCCAAAAAATATCTACCACGAAATAAACAGTTTTTTGTGTCTCCTGAACAATTTGGTTTTCGGGACATGTGCCCTTTTTGTATTTAGTGATTCAAATGAGGTGAGGAATGCTAGGAATTGCTCAACTGCTTGGACATGAGTCATGATTAGACTAATTTAAGGGTTAACTTCCGGAGGTAAATTTTAGGTTTCAGGAGCGACGGCAGTAAGGGCTGAGGGGTCACTGAAACGTACTGTCTCTGTGCGCTTTCGCGCATGAACGAACGCGTGGATCCTGATCCAGGAAGAAGGAAGGCGGGATTGCTCTTGGAGTAGATACACACAGGGTGATTCAAAAATCCTGCACCACCATCAACTGGCATTACGCCTGCAACTTTTGAACCAATTGAGATAGAGACTTGAAATTTTGTGAGGCCTCCTGAACTAAAGAAAACCTACTTTTTGCGCCGGTTAAAATTGTAAGGGGATCACCCTAAAAAGGGGCGAGAACCATGGGGGTGGTGCGGGACCTTTGGATCACCCTGTATATCGAGTGCGAGAAGTGCTCTCGGCTCAGCGATTACGCACGAGGCTGATTGTGAGCTTCGATCCTGGCTCTTCGGCGAGGCGCCGCGCGTTGTTTGCACCATTGAATGCTAATTGCCTTATAATGGCGATTGTGATTTCATCGTGTCTTAATCAATTGCCGCTCACCAGCTGAATACATGTCCTGGAGATCGTATACGGTTGAGGTTGACCGTGCTCATTGCTCTCCTGCCCCGTCAACCCGGGTCTATGTCCGTCATTCTGTCTGGCACGTCTGCGTCCTCTTCAATGCCACTTCCCTCATGGGCGGAATTGTCGGGGGTCTAGGGGAGCCTCCCCACCTCCCATTAGGAATTTATTTGGTCCTTCCTAAGAAATGTGAGGGATCTTGTAGCGTAAGCAGGGTGTCTACAAGTCTGGAATTTCCAGAAAGTCCGGAAATAGTACTTATTTTTTAAGGACGGTCCGGAAGTACTGAAAAAGAGCGGAAATTCCGCAAAAAGATCTGGAATTTGTTTTCATTTTTTGTCATTTTTGTCGCAATTTGAGCGAGTAATTAAACATTTTGAAATTTTTCGAATCTCGTCAAATGGAGGTACTAAAAAAATACTGAATTTTTCTGTTGAGGAGGTACTGAATTTCTTACAAATGTACTAAAAAAGTACTGTAAAAGTACTGATTTGTGGCCAGCCTGTTTTATTAGACACCCTGGTAAGTGCGCATAGAGTACATAGAGTCGTAATGTAATTGAGAGAGCTGGCGCCATGTTCTGGCTGTCGAGTTCCAAGCCCGGTGTGCGCCGAGCGTGGGTCACTTTTTTGATATCCAAAATGGCGGTGTTGAATACTTAGTAATTTCTTTATTCTTTGTTTACATCGGATGGCCGGGTCACTTTGTTTCGAAGACAATCGATTATGTACCGAAAAAGTTACCCGGCGTCACACAGGAGTCTCGGAATATTAAAAGTGGCGCCAGCTCTCCCACTTACATTACGACTATATGTACTCTATGTAAGTGCGTCACTTATCTTTTATCCTTGAAATTTTAATCCGATTTTTCGGTGAGTACAACGTAAATAGCCCTGAGACGATTAAATTAAAGGGGAAAAAATAAAAAAAATGTGTAATTACAAAATGTTCCCGCCCTGCAATAAAGTTGATCGGCATTACACTATAATGTGAACTGCCAGTTTCCTCTATTCGATATCAGTAAAATATCAGTAGCATATCAGCTTGATATCCTGGTGATATCATTCTAACATCATTCTGATTTTCCTTGCTAACATATTATCATGCTGACATCGCGGTGAGCCAGCATATCATACTGATTCAGTACCACAGAAAAAAAGATAGTACACTGAGAAAAAACTAAAAAAACTAAAAAAACTAAACCAAAATTAGCGGTAAAACCGTACTTGTTAGGATGGTATGGAACCTATTTTAGTTCGGTACACGCGACAAAATTATTTGGTATGCACGATCGAAGTATTCAGTCGAGATCAGCTAATTCCCAAGGTTCGGTTTAATAGACCGAATAGCTCGGCTGAGTAGACCAAACGATGCGGTTGTCTGAATCAAACAAAACTAGGTTCCATGTCATCCGAAAAAGTTCGGTTTTACCGACATTTTTTTCTCTTCAGTATTGGATAATCAACCACAAGAGCTGCCTTCGACTGCAAAGAGAATTTTTGGCGGTTATTTTTTTCAAAGTTTTTAGAAAGTATTTTCTTGGCGTCCAAATGACCGAGTGGAATCTATGAATCTCATTATTTGTATAAAACAAGAACAAGGAAAAGTAAATGCGTACGTACCGGCAAGCACTCACACTTCATGCAGTACATGACCCCGAAAGGAGGGCCCAGATCCAGATACCACGAAGAACCGATCTCCCGAAATTCTTTCCCGAACTGACACTCTGAAAAAAATAGAGAGGAAAAAAACGCCATTACATAAATGAATACGCACTGCAACTCAAATTGATGAGAGAAAGGGAAAGGGTACATTCTATTATACAAATATTCACTCGTTACCGACCTCTCCAACATGTTTTTTGTTTGCCCAATCATTGTTTTTCGGTGACTTTCATCAGTATTACACATTTTGCAAGATAGGGAAATTTACATTCGAATTGCTTTCGCCGAGACCCAGCAGGACCTCCATGGAGGACGATGCGTAATTAATACTCAGCGGATTAAATATCAAAGATTTGTTTTTTTTTCTCACAAAATGTTTTAAGAAAGAGGGTAAAATATCTAAAAACGACACAATATCCTGAGACATTACAGAAAAATCAATCAATAATATGGAGGTATGAAAGAAAACTTAGATGAAAATTACGCAGAAGCAAGTTACACCCCTGATGCCGAAAAGATCTGAAATACCAGAAAAATCAGCCCGAAAAATCTTTAGACATACCTCGAACGAAAAAAATGAAAATGTATGGAATCAAAGAGCTTACATGAATGATAGGAACTCGAAAACAAGAGAACCCTAATGAGATCCAGAAGTCTACAAAAACTTTTATACCTTGGATATTTGGGCGTTGTTAAGTGTAAGAAATCATACTCGTGAGAATCGTCCTCATCGTTTTGTCAACATTTTGGCAAAGCGAGCAGCAAATTTGATCTAGAGCTTGATTTGTTCCTGCTCAAATATAACCTTTCCGACCGATTGATATCAACAGGCACCCCGACAAGGCACTTTCAAACTGTTATTAGAGAGTTCTTTTCCAAGTATCACGTACAAATGTGCTGATTTTTTACCTCTTTTTTTTGCCGGCTGACAGACAAACCTCCGCCCATCTCAAAATTAGCGTGTTTTGTCTTGACCAGTTAACTGGAAACTCAGAACCATGTATTTACGTACAAAACACGTTGTTTTATTAATTGAGCGGTATAAATTTTCCTCTATCGTCCGTGCATATTTTAAAACGACATCGGGAGCAGCTTTTTGCGTATTACGAATAGCAAGTGCGGTCTCGTGTGTGTGCTCGTTTCGAATAGGTCCCACTGTTCCGTAATCGTGATCAAGGCATTTTAATGCCAGGGCATCTTTAGTTTTTCTTCGTGAGTTTATCCTCTAAGATCCATCATATTGTGTCCTTTCACATACAAATAGGTTTTTCCTATCTCTCAACACCTTTTTGACTCTGATCTGCACTGATTCCTAGATCCAGGTGCCCTCCCATGTGTGGTTGAATATCGACGGTGAAACTACCAAACCACGTATCTCGTTTGCGGTGTTTAAAAATCTACGCTCACATTTTATTTTTTTGAAGTAGACCAAATCAATATCATTCCTTGAAATTTTCACAGAATTTTCTCCGCACAAAGAGGAAAAATCACAGAAATTTTCAAGACTGGACGTTAAGTAGTTTTTCATTTAAAAAATAAAGTATGACAAGAAGTCTGCGACGTCGCAAACCGAGATACGTGGTTTGGTAGTTTCACCGTCGATATGCCGTTCGAGAAAGAACAATGACCGACCGGGACTTGACCTGAAGAAAACCGGGAGTCATACACACCTATACCTCTGGTCAGGCTCTGGTCAGCTCAAACCACCACTTCAACAAGCACCTGACCAGAGGTCTTGCAATCGGCCCATATTTTGAGGCTTCAAATAATTTCTGATATTTTTTTCTGAGAAACAGGAAAATATGGATAGTTATTATTTTTGAAATATGTACTTATCTTTTGACTCACCGAGACTATTCCTGGGTGGCAACATGGGCTCATGAGACACTCTCGAAAATGTACAGATAGGGATCAAATAAACGAGCAGTGCTGTCGTTTAGTAAGGGGACTCCAAGGCTGAAATCACGGCAACTTTGCTGATGTAGTTGATCCCTATCTGCGCACTGAGACTACGCAGAGTTTGGATTCAGAGTTAGACTCTCAGCAAAGCGGGGAGATCCTCTCTGTTACAGTCTTTAATTAGAGCGGTTTTTTCAGCTTGGGAGTTCGTTTCAGAGAAGATCGGTGGCACCATCGTATCGTGATGCATGGAAAAGTTCATTTCAGAAAAAGTGCTTACATCGTGAATCTCTGACGTACGCAAGAGCTCCATGACTTGAGAGGAGAAGGGGGTGGCGGGGTCGGAGAGGGTAGAGGTGCGAGAGGGGTCGGGGCTTCGAGCGTCGCGACGCTGCTGATTAGTAAAACAAATTAGGAACGACGTCTTTGGTCAACGTTGTTGGCGTCGCTTGTCTGCGTCATCGCGGCGCTTATGATGATGACATACCGCAGTGCCATCTAGCGGCGCAACTCCATTCTAATCCACATTGCACAGCGTATCGGACGACGATACATGCATGGCACTCTGGCTCCAGGTTGCCGAATTTTCGTAATTTAACTCCATATTATGATGAATACCGTTGAGATGAAAAAACTTACGAAGAATACAAATTTGATAGATATCATCAATACAATCGAATTTTGCCAAATTTAACATTTTTTTTTGTCTTAGTGAAAGTATCCCGAGTAAGTAAAATTTCCAAAGAGGCGTTTCAATTCATTGAGTGTTGCTGTAAATAAATTAACTAACTGACTATCATGACGATTTTTTAACAATATGTACAAGGTAATTAACGAAACAATAGGATAAAAAAATGAAAGGTATGAATTTGCGGACTTTTAAGGAGCAGAGAAACGTCAAATAAATTCCACCTAATAACGCTGTGGTGTAGGGGCTATGCTGAATAGGTCTCAGAAACGACATTCTAATTTCACCGATGCCAGCATAACTAACCCATTTTTCAATACAAATGCTATACAATAATTAACAAATAATCTTTATGATCGAGGTCGCTCTTTGCAAGAAGGATCCTCAAGACCCTAGACTAGAGGCCTTTTTGCACCTATTTCCTTAGCTCTGATGCATCGACGCAAACTGGGAAAAAAAACCCCGGCCGTGCAGGTGGTACTTACAGGCTATGGCGCTTTATGAACATACCGACCGTTCCAGACTCGGAGGCCGAAAGTTCCGGCCGAAAGTTGCTCCGGCTTCTGAACCCGGAACTTTCGGCCTGTGAGCTTGGAACCGAAGGTATGTCTATAAAGCTTGTAAGTACGGCTTTCACAGCCGGAGTTTTTTCCATATAACTATACAGAGGGATTTTTCAAGGGAAAGAGCTCTTTCACTCCTCACGGGCGTGATGGTATTACTGACGGTTACGCATGGTCAAAACTTTTACCGCACACTTTTTACAACATAAATAGATTAGCCGTTGGAGAGGGTAGGGGGGTGGTGCCCTCTTAATCATGCCCGTGTACACTCGGAAAAAAAAGAACCGCGCTGAGCACCAGAATCTGGACCTCACCACACGCGGTGGATGGTGATTTTGCCTAACCCTTGCAATCCGCACTTGGGCATAGCCGGCGACTGTCCTCGGCACATTCCTCCTGTACTTGCGCACATACTTCCTCTACTAGGCGATATGCTTCCCTGCACTCCACCGCATGCGGCGGAAGTTAAAACAAAGTTTGTGCTCAGCGCGGTTCTATTTTTCTCTGTGCAGGTGAATTTATTATACCTGAATAATCGTCTTTCAGGGCTGAAATTATTCTCGTCGTGTATCCAAGCAAATGGAAACTTCGGAAAAAGCGGAGATTTTTAGGCAAGTGCGGCAATGGAGCTCACGCTTTTATCATTCCGGTGGTAAAGTTATTAAATGACGCTAATTATTTCAGCTTGACGCCGCCCTCCCCGCCGCACCCTCTCATTTGAGGCTAGGCCAGCGGCCAGACATTTATTTTTGGCCCAACAACCCCCTCTCCTCCCCGCGCCCCAGTTCTTGGCCCCCCGCTTCTCCCCTCGTGATAAGCGACGCTCTCCTCATGTCATACGCCGCTCCATAATTGAACCGTTTGCTTCCCGATCCGCCTGAGGGGCAGAAACTCGTGAACCATTCAGGGATCCAGCAAATTGGCAACATTGTTCTTCTCCATTTAAACCTATGGGGAAATACCGATTCTTGGAGGGGCCAGGTGCTCCGACAAGAATCGATTATTTAACATAGGTTTAAAGGGAGGAAACCTAATGTTGCCAAATTGCCGGATCCGCTTCTGTCGTGAGCTCTGAAACTCCTGTATAATCGTGAATTCTGAAACTCGTCAAATAATAGCGCCTCTGCAGGAACGTAAGCTGTCTGATTGAATCATACGAACGGAGGAAATCGCCAATTTTAAACCCCCTTTCTTCGTTTTCTGTTATTGATTCATTTTTAAAATAATATGTTTCATGTCATACGCTTGTTTAATTCAACCCGAAGGATGATAGGTACGCGGTTTACCTAAAAGTTAATTTTTTAAAAGTGATAATCTATTCAGTTGATTCACATTCAAGAGATCAATTTCAGCCAGAATCTAAGAGTAGGTGTAGTTCAAACATTCTCTGATGCACCCACGGCCACACTTCGGACGCTCGTATAGGCATAGGTTAGAGATAGTGTCGTCCCGCTGACGTAAGGGTGTATCTCAATCTCCGGATGAGCCCTCGAGGGTGTGGATTTTTAAGTAACACGGGGCCCACGTGGAAATTGAAGTACACGTCCTTATGTTAGAGGGGCGACGATAAAGGTTCGTTTGATCAGGAAGGAAGGAGCCACATCTATTTGACTTGAGAAGAGGATGCCTGGTTCCGTATGGTCACCCTCGTTGCCAGGTCGTGACAAAATGTGTGACTTACTAGTTGAGAAGAATAAGTTAGAGTACCTGTATAGCGAGAGTATGGACAGATGTGAACTTCCGAAAATCCATCAGGCCTTCACCGATGCTTCTGCGAATAAAGTTAGGGCCCAGAAATGCAGCCAACCTATGAATTTTAATTACCCAGAACGATTTACTAATACTACTGTTTAGAACCGTCGTTTACAAAGCACGTATTTGACTCAGTTTTTGCATAAATTTACTCATTTTT